TGGGCCTGCGGGTGGTGCACTGAATAACAGCTTGAAATTCAAAATCAGGTAGCCGAGTTCCAATACCAGTTGGGTTCGTTATATTCAATAACGCGCAAATATCCATGGGCAAGCTATGAATACACCGCTTCTGTTAATCAGTAGGACTTGTATCAGTAAGTGATTATTATCTCCCCATAATTTTTTGGAATCTATAACGTAATTTTTTCTGGCTTTAAATAACCTGCAAATGGTTGAAAAAATGTTGCAAACGGTAAAAAAACGGTTGCAAATATTTTTCACATACATCTTTTTGGTTTTCCAATATAGGGTAATCTGCGTAGTGGGGGGTGGGGAATCGTCGTCGTGATGTCACTCATGCTAACGCAAACTGTCCATATATGTTTATGTCTGTATGAGTCCCGGCGGACGAGCGAGTGTGTATGTGTGTCAGCGTACCTCAACGGGTCTACGGACATGCATCTATGTTTGCGTTAGTATGACTGACATCACGACGACGATCCCCCCCACTTCCATAATAACACCAATACACGCAATCTACATAAACCCAAAATTTTAAAAAATTAATCAGTTTGTCTGACGATCCCAAAAGCGTGAAACCCAGGGTCACAAACTCACACCAATCCAACCATATATATATATATATATATATATATATATATATATATATATATATATATATATATATATATATATATGTATGTATTATGGGTTTCATTTGGATTTTACTTAATTTTGTTCTTGTGAAACAAAATTCTGTATCTGATGACGCCGGTTCTTAGGTGAAACGTTTGAAAATAGAACATTTTCGATTTATCTTATATATTTACTATATACAGCAAAAGAAATGAGTCACTTAGCAAAAAAAAAAAAAAATTAATTTGCTCATTTTTTTGTTAAGTAGTTGTAAATTTTCGACATTATATTTTTCGGAGTAGTATCTGTGATCCTTCAGGGCCATAATGCAGGTTGCATTCACATAAACAGAATAAAATCCATTAGGGAAGAAAATGAATACGACAAAAATGCTGGATAAAAAACCTATCTGTGATGGGGTAGCGAAAAATGGACAAAAATGATATCTCAAAATATAGAAAATAGGGATGAATTCTAATAAAAGAGAAAATATCCAAATAACAATTGGTAAAACAACAAACCAAATTATACAATGAAGCCGATAAAATACAACAGCAAAGGTAAAAGAAAGTTGATAAAAATTGATAGCACGATGAACAGCAACAAAAGCATTATTTTGTTAAAGTCACACTGATTATCAAATATAGCAGAAGGTGAAATATTCCAACACGATTGATCAGTGCCATGCATAACATGCAACAAAGAATTTTCTCATTGCAGTGTTATAAGAGTTGCCTGGCCTAAAATCTGAACATGAAATAGTCGACATTCTATAATTGCACAATTGTACAATTATAAGCTGACCGGAAGATCCCTAACTAAAAGGGTGAAACTTAAGCAACCAAAGTATTGTGCAGTTTACATCTCATACTTTACGTCATATATATATATATATATATATATATATATATATATATATATATATATATATATATATATATATATATATATATATATATATATATATATATATATATATATATATATATATATATATGTGTGTGTGTGTGTTTGATACTTTGGCTTGTGTTATTAATATAGTTTAGCTTTCTTTCGTCCAACTCTGAAATATTTTTTTTTTAACTTAAAAAAGATTTCCATCTTCATAATTTTACTTTCTTCTCATTTTTTGCGCCTCATCCCCGAAAAAAAAAAACAAGTTGATGATAGCTTCTTTTCTAGTTCTGTTGCATGCTGATGACTTTAGCGATTAATGCCATTGGGGTGGAGGAGCGCGTAGAAAAGCAAAATCGCTATGCATATCTGCCAGCTGTGATAGTTTCGGTGTTGTTTTGTTATTTTTTTTATTCTGTTTGATGGGCATTTTCTTTATATCAGTGTCTGTTTATTTCTTTGTGATGTTTTGCCTTCTTACAACCATTTCTAGCCGACCTTTTCTTTCACACTAACTGGTCCGTTAACCACGAAACAGAGGAAATGAGTATATGCGTGTCTATCAGATAGGTAGATAGATAGATAGATATGAGCAAAAATAGATATGAACAGAGTGAGATAGAAATGAACAAAGATAGATATTAACAAAGATAGATATTAACATATATATATATATATATATATATATTGCGAAATAGATAGATAAATGTGAACAGACTGAGATAGATGGGTAGATATGAACAGACGGATATATATATATATATATATATATATATATAGAGAGAGAGAGAGAGATAGAGAGATAAAAGTGCGTATTTGCGTGCATAAAATAGAACGAGAGAGAGAGAGTTAACTAGATAGAGAAAGTACACGTCTGAGAGAGAGAGAGAGAGAGAGAGAGAGAGAGAGAGAGAGAGAGAAATTTGCAAAAAATCATAGATGTGTTAGATAGGCAGATAGATATAGAAAGATTATGAGTGTGCGAGAAATAGAAAGAACTGGAGATAGAAAGCGGGACCGGAATGAGAGGAGGGTGTTTGAGATTGAGATTGAAGATACAGAAAATATAAGAGAGAGAGAGAGAGAGAGAGAGAGAGAGAGAGAGAGAGAAATAGACAGACAGACAGACAGACACAAAGAGAAAATTATGTGTGTGTGTATTGGTATGTGTATTTTTAAGCACATGCAAATGATACTAAAAGAAAAGTTTGAAACAGGTGAGACTTTCCATCTCTTCCTAAGTTTGAGATCAAACCAGATCTATGCATGTTTGGAAAAAGACCAGCTGGGAAATGTAAGTCCCATTTTAAACTACTCAAGTATTTTTCTAAATGCTAAATAGTTTATGACTGTTCTTAATATATTAGTATTTCGTGTTGACTGATCTTCCTTGATGGTCTTTACTGTATCAATATTCTTTACCTTTAAAAATTATAAGCGCTTGTCATTTAGTCCTTCTATCCTTTCCTCATTGGTCTGAACTGGCGTAAACCCAAGAACAATATATTCGAACTTGATCTTTTCCTGTTTTTCTTTCCTCATTAATTTCTACCTCTTTTCTTTCTTAACACATATTCCTTCCTCTCCCTTACCTTTATATCATCCTCTCCTTCTGATTACTTATCCTCTCTTTTTTTCTCTTACTTCTAATCTTTTCTGCTCCTTCTCTCTATATCCTTCCTCCTACTCTTCATTCTTTTTCTTATTTTCCACGTTTCCCATCCTTTTCCTTTCCCGCTTCCTTGACCTTTTCATTTTCGTCTCATTTTTTTCTCTTCTTTCCCCTTTTCCGCTTCCTTTTCTTTCTTTCTTTCTTTCTTTCTTTCTTTCTTTCTTTCTTTCTTTCTTTCTTTCTTCTGCTTCTGTTTCCTATTATTTTCTTCGTGCAATTATTATGACATTGCCTTCTTAGTTGGAGGCATGGTGGAGTAATGGATAGCGGCTCGGATTGAGGAATTGGAGAGCCGAGTTTGAATTCCAGTCGAATCCATTGCATTCACTTACGTGCTCATACCTCTGGGAAAAATATGAACCCGTTTCTTCTCCTCTCAGCTATGGGTAAATAGCAGGACAGATTCTTTCGTAACTTCTTTCTTTCTTTTTGCAAATATTTTATTCCGGACATATTCTTCCATGCTTCCCAATGATTGCACATGTAACTGGAAGAAAAAATAATGACATAATCAAGATGTTGACGTTCCACTCTACTAGAAACATAAAAGCTAGAAGGCGAAGCCATCATCAGTATTTGAAAGGGCAATAATAATTGGCCTGGTGAAACCTATTTTCCTGAAATATTGTTTTAATAGAAATATTTTATTTCAACCAACAGTAGTACTAGATGCTCGGTCAATGAATGGCGAATGTTTCCTTGTAAGGAAACGGCTAATATTGCTATTATCATTGTCATACTCATTGAATTTTCACACTACTAGTTTATGGTGAGTTAGAAATAGTGTAAGAAGATTTTTTCAATACTTCAACTTCAGCAATTTTAATCATTTCTGATCCCATAACAGTAGACACAATCGTCACTATTATATTCGATAATGCTTTCAGTGGATCATTTTCAATCTTTGGTCACATTGAACGCTGATATTAACATATCTTTTTTTTGTTTTTGTTTACGATAAGTAGATATAGCCTTGCTTACGTTCATATCACGTTGAAACATCAATTGTCCGATGACCGAATTTAAGCAACCGTGAGCCTGATCCGTAATTCTAATTGGTTATCGTTAGGAAATAACAGGTGTTGTAAGCTTCGAAGCAGGCCTAGCGAGCCAGTGATTTTCCAAGAGTAGCTTAGATGTGGCACAAAGCCGAAAATATTCGGCACCCAGTGAGGATCGAACTTACTACTCAGTCGTAATTGTTCTAGCGAGACAAGCTTGCTAACCATTACACCGCCAGTGATAGATATAATTTCGTTACATATGCTGACAGTTGACCTCCATATGTGGAGGTGTTTCTGAACTGACAGGTTGAAAGACGTACATGGAGTTAGGTGTATGCAAGCTAAATTGTGTTCTATCTTGGAGCTGCAATGGTTTCTAGAGGTTCCCCATTCTCACCGGGTGCAACACTTGACTGGTTAGTAGCTTGAGGAGTATACTTTGAGCTAAAATGTGTAGTTGGGAACAGGTATAGGCGGAATTCAAAGAGAGGCAAGAAACTGACGAAGGTCTTCTTCTTATTGCCTCTCTTGCCAGACGAAGGACGCCGTAAGCTTTCTGATGACACCAGAATCATCTCTAGGGAGCGAAGATGGTAAGAATGGGGACGGCACACCCTTAACCCCTACTTCTGTGCAAGCCTCTAGCTCCTGTGGAACTAGTGTCATCATCCGACACGAAGGACAGGTGAACGATGGAGGAATACAGCGAAATTAGATATTTATTATTTTTAATGATATTAAAATATTTAAATATGTGAATGAAAATCTATGTTTGCGTTGGTATGTACTGCTTAAGGTCATATCACGTTGAAACAACCGGTTCTCATTTGATTACCGAAGTTAAGCAAAGTTGAGCCTGGTCACTAATCAGATGGGTTACCGCTGAGGAATAAAAGCTATTGTAAGCTATGTGACAGGCTTAGCAAGCCAGCGATGGATATAATCTCGCTACTTATACTAACAGAAGACCTCTACATGTGGAGGTGCTTCTGAAATGACAGGTTGAAAGACGTCCATGGAGTTGGGTGAGAAGAAGAAGATGCAATCCACTGGTCTGGATTGAAGGATCTGTTTAAAATTCAATGTTTTATAAAATTTTACCCTTTCAGTTCACGGCTATAACCCACATTATAGTGAACCACCCTCAGTCTGTTCGTATTCCATTGGTGAGATGTAAGTTCCACGCGAGAGGATGCTTCCCCGATCACTATACTCTTAAACTTGTGCGATTCTAAGGTTAACCGTTATCTTCTGCACATATCTCCATAAACTTCTACATCGAGTAGCTCCTGGAACTTTTTCAGGATAAAAATTATTGTAAAATAAAAGACAGCTTCATTATCAGTTCGATTTATTTTTTACGAATATCTTCATCCTTCAGTTTTTCACTTTCGTCCAATTCATTTCTCATTTTCATCTTCGCATCTTTCTTTCTCTTCTTTCTATTGCTCTTTTCTTTCTCTTCTTCCGTTTCCTCTTTTTCTTTCTCTTCTTTCTTTTCCTCTTTTTCTTTCTCTTCTTCCTCTTCCTCTTTTTCTTTCTCTTCTGTCTATTGCTCTTTTCTTTCTCTTCTTCCGCTTCCTCTTTTTCTTTCTCTTCTTTCTTTTCCTCTTTTTCTTTCTCTTCCTCTTTTTCCTTCTCTTCTTTCTATTGCTCTTTTCTTTCTCTTCTTCCGCTTCCTCTTTTTCTTTCTCTTCTTTCTTTTCCTCTTTTTCTTTCTCTCCTTCCTCTTCCTCTTTTTCTTTCTCTTCTTTCTTTTCCTCTTTTTCTTTTTCTTCTTTCTATTGCTATTTTTCTTTCTCTTCTTTCTATTGCTCTTTTCTCTCTCTTCTTCCGCTTCCTCTTTTTCTTTCTCTTGTTTCTTTTCCTCTTTTTCTTTCTCTTCTTTCTATTGCTCTTTTCTTTCTCTTCTTCCGCTTCCTCTTTTTCTTTCTCTTCTTTCTTTTCCTCTTTTTCTTTCTCTTCTTCCGCTTCCTCTTTTTCTTTCTCTTCTTTCTATTGCTCTTTTTCTTTCTCTTCTTTCTATTGCTCTTTTTCTTTCTCCACTTTCTTTTCCTCTTTTTCTTTCTCTTCTTTCTTTTCCTCTTTTTCTTTTTCTTCTTTCTATTGCTATTTTCTTTCTCTTCTTCCGCAGCCTATTTTTCTTTCTCTTCTTTCTCTTCCTCTTTTTCTTTCTCTTCTTTCTATTGCTCTTTTCTTTCTCTTCTTCCGATGCCTCTTTTTCTTTCTCTTCTTCCTATTCTTCCTATTCTTACGCGACTTCTAGCTCTCCATTATATCACCTCTATTCTCCTCCCCTTCCAACTCTGCCTCTGTTCACATACAACATACACCTTTTCCTTATCTCCTACCCTTTCAGACATTTCCAGTTCTCTTCTTATAATACTTCCCCTTCTCTCACTTCCCATTTACTTGCTTTACGTTTTATACATATTTTTAGCGTGGGTGCGAAGCGATTCCGTAAAATGCACCGAGAAATGCCGCGCAAAGCAAGATGAAAGGATTACCTACCTACCTACATACCTGCCTGTTTTTATACATCGAAATGTGCCTGTGTATGAGCGTGGGTCGGATGGATTTTGAATGCTCTCTCGTCTCTGACTTTTTTTTCTTTTTTTTTCATTTCTTTTTTCTGTTATCTTATCAATTTCTTCTTTGTGGTTGTTATATTTCTGCTACCATTTCTGTTTCTTAAAAGCGAAAACACACTTCCAATTTCTTTAATCTCCCCTCTTTTCATCTGATACTGCCTTTTGTCTTTCGCCTATTATCGTTCTTTTATGTCCGCGCACACCTTTCTGGTTCACCTTCTCGGCTTAGTTTACTCATTTATTTCATAATAATTATTTATCTTCGTGGTGCCGTGATGAAAACGATTTTAGAAGCATGTGAAACTTATGTTTAGCAGCGGAAAAATATTGAAGAATAAAGAATATATGTGAATGTGTTTGGAGAACGAGATCGATAATCCACTTCCTTGTAGATTTCAAGCGTCTCTTACATGATAAACTAGTATTTGAGGAGATTGAGAGCTTGAAGGAAAAGGAAATTAAAAGAGGAGAGTCAACGAAAAACGAAATGAAAAAGATGGACAGGAAAGGGGAACAAGGAGTCGAAATAAAAAACAGAAAAAAGGAGAAACGAAGAACGAAATGAAGGACAAAAAAAAAAGAAACAAGGAGGAATGAAGAAAGAAAATAAAAAAGGACACAGAAAAGGAAGAACTGGGTGAAGAAGGTCAGAAAAGATGAACAAGGAGGAGGAAAGAAAAATGAAAAAGAACAGAGGAAAGGAACAAGGCGAAACGAAGAACGAAAGGGAAAAAGAAGTACCGAAAAAAAAGCAGCAAAATAACAAAAAAGAAGCAATAAGATGGAACAAAGAAAGAAAAGAAAAAGAAGTACAAAAAGAAGCAATAAGATGGAACAAAGAAAGAAATGAAAAAGAAGTACAGAAAAAAGGAACAAGAAGAAGGAACGAAAAACGAAAGGAAAACAGGGAAGAGAAAGATGAACGAAGGATAAGGGGGTGGAAAAAAATGAAGAGAGATCTGAAAAGAAAGAAAGAGATTAAAAACGGGAACAGGAACGGAACATATAAATGGATGAAAAAGAAAAAGAGTGGGAAAGAGGCAAACAAAAACGAGTTATAACAGAGAAATTGAATGAAAAAAGAGAAAAGCGAAGAGTAAAAAGAAATACAAAAGCGTGTATGATAGATAGATAGATAGATAGATAGATAGATAGATAGATAGAGTGAGAGAGAGAGAAAGAGAGAAGAGAAAGGGAAGAAATGAAAAGGTAAGCAAAAGCTCGAAGTGCTGGAAAACAAACACAAATTAGTACAAAATGTCACAGGAAAGATGAAAAATGACAAATATAAATGACTGATGAAAAAGACAGAATCAGAATGTCTCTCAGAACATTTTTCTTTTGCCAACCAAAGCTAAAGAGATTTACTATTTAACTCATAGCTGAGGGACAAGAAATGCATTCATACATCCTTCCTAGGGTATTTGCGCGAAAATGAATGCAACGAAGTCGAATTTGGTTCGCTGATTTCTCGTTCCGAGTCGCTAAACATTAAACCAACTTTACATTCTTGATACTCTCATATGAAGATAAAATCGCAATTCAATTATCTTCAGAAGCTTATAACTTGTATAGAGATCCTTCAAAAGCAGAGCCCTAAATTATCGTGGGTGTGATATTTTCAAATAAAGAAAGGCAAAACTTAAATTAATTTTTTGGCACTCTTCAACATCTTCATAAGCATGTTATTTTCAACATCTCCATTAATAGAAAACTTTCCATGCTTTTTCACAGTTGCAGTGACAACATCGACTGCTGAATGCTGTTTCAATAGTCTACAAGAAATTTCCAAATTTGTGTTCAAAGATAATAGAATAAATAGTTTCAAACTGGGCAATAATCCACTGTAATCATATTTTTAATGAAATTAATTTGCACATTATTGTAGATTCATTCGGTAAACGTAGTGGAAAGAAAAATATTTTTTGATCATGAAATTGTCTTTTAATTGTTTTGTGATAAACAAATCAGTGTTGATATTGATGCTGTAAGGTTCCTTTAAAGAATGCGAGCAAAGGTAAAGGCAAGACTCCTTTGAAATTTATACAATTGAAGCATTTCTGAAAATGTATGTATTTTCTAGAAAATTCCATGTCCTCCGCTCACACTCATTTTTGTTTTGTCTTAGGGAAAGTTGCGAATTCCATGAAAATTTGCATTTAGAAATGTAAAATATACTCTTGATTAAACGAAAAAAAAAATGAAAAAAAAAAACAAATGTAATAATCGTTTCTAGATCATCTTTATAAGGAACTGGATTACGATCTTGAAAATACTCTATAATTTGGCAGGCGGTGAGAATGAGTATGGATGTATACTGAGTTCAAGTGACTTTCTCTGTGTTCAATGCATTCTAAACCTCAGCTACACGCCTACACGCACACGCACATGCAAGAACACACAGAATTTCTATAGATATAAATATAGACAGAAATAGACATAGAAATCAACACTGCATGGTGATTAGCAGTTTTACGCCTTGAGTGATCACCACACTTCATGTTGCTCCTCTATGTGTCGACTCTATATGTAGACCACTGATAACTTATAGGAAAGTCTAAAGAGAGAAACTGGTTTCCCCAGGTTTCTGTTTAGGTTATATTCTTTTTAGTCTATCGTCCTGACATTGATTTTTTTTATTTCATTTATTTCTTTGTTCATTTTATTATATTATACTAGCAGTAGAGTCCGGCGTTGCCCAGGGATGTAAAGTGAAGTTTTGTTGAAATCGGTTGAAAAATGTAGGAAATCCGATCTCATATATAAACACACACACACACACACACACACACACACACACACACACACACACACACACACACACAACCTGGGTTTTATAATAAGTATAACTCGATATTAATAAGTATAACTCGATATGAGTTGTCCCCCTTTCATTAATGCCTCTTAATCGTGTTTTTAAATTGATTTCGTGCAAAAACAATTGTGTTTTTCGAATTTTTGGCGCTGTTAGAACCACCGCAAGGTAATTTTACGTAGTCCTGTGAAGTTTTGTTGAAATCGGTTGAAAAATGTAGGAAATACGATCCCATATATAAACGTACACACACACACACACACACACACACACACACACACACACACACACACACACACAATTTGCGTTTTATAATAAGTAAGATTCTTTTTTGCGTAATTTCATTTTTATTATCTATTTACTTAATTTCTTTTGTTCTACAGCTTGGTGCGTACTTTTAAAGTTTATTAGTTTTAGGTCATGTGTTACTAGTTGTTTAATCATTGGCGTTATGATATGGCCGTTGGGATAGTAATAGATTTTCTTTTGTGGTTACCTAATCCTGGCCCACAATATTTCTCTTTTGAGAAAGCAGAGGACATTCAATTAATTTGCTGTCTTTAAAAGCATTTTTGTTTTCTCTTACAAGGTGATCATCAGTCATCTTTGCAGACTGTGAAAGAGTATATTTCTAGCTTAATAAGAACATATTAAGCAAGAAATATATATGAAAATACTCTTTAGCTGAAAGATTCTTGATTGTGATCTATACCACCCAAAATCATCATAGCAATTACAATAATTCTCTGCAACTTAAAATATTACTCCACCTACCTAGTCTTGTAAACCGTGTAAAATATTTGAGGGAAAGACGCAGCTTTTAGTACAGTCCATGTAGTTCTACATTCATCAGTAAAAATTACTGTTCAAAAATCAGTTTTCATGTACTTCTTCACGTATCACTTTGTGACTTTTACTCAAAACAAATGTTCTTAATATTTTGTATCATATTTCTCTGGTTACATTTGTAACACTAGCCTCTTTCATTTGCTGGTTAATCCATTTCATTTTGCTTATTAGCCTTTCAATTTACTCAAATCCATTTTTGTGGTATTCTTGAAGCCAGTTTTTCTTTTTCTTGTCTTGCCACCGTTTTCAGTTCTGTTTCGTTTGTTCTCTGATCTTGAATTTCTTCACAATCTCTAGTGTTGTGTTGCCATCATTTAATATCGTATTTATCTTTTAAGGATACATCTTTCTTACGACATATGGCAATCTTTATATATCTGAAATTAAGAAATAAATATCTATAATTATAATATAACTTATATTTATTTAAAATATGGGGAAGTGTTTTCAAATTGCATCATAAAATTCCATACCACCAAATAACTTATTGTGTATATTTTTAATAAAATCAGATATAAGCTGAAATTCGTATGGTATATTCACTATATAAATATATCTTGAAAATTTTACCACCATCAGTTGTTTAATACCAATTTTATACTTAAAACATTAACTTGCATTAAGAAAAGTGAAATAAGGTATTATTATCATTATAATTCTGCTTGTTCTTAGATCCTTAGTTAGTTAGCATGTACGTCTGTTAGCACGTACATTGCGCCTTGCCAATAGCTCATAAATAATGAACTATTCCGTTTTGATCGCGGGAAAAGACAGAAAAGGCATATCAGAGACGCTGTATGGTTTCAATGAGAAAAAGAAAGAGAGCAAGCAAGCAAGTAAGAAAGAGCAAAGATAGAGGACCCGATAACATTCTTATATGTTAACGTTTGCTTTCATTGTCAATATCAAATCTTTTTGATTGTACCCTCTTCTTTAAATAATGACCTGTATTCATATTCACATGTATACATATGATTGCTATTGCAATATTTTGTTAAAGTTGCTAAGCTCAAGTATTTAACGAGGCAACAGGGACTTTTCCACAAGTATTTATAGTTGTAGAACTAGGAAGGAGCTTATTCAATCATTAACTTAAGGATCATCATTCATTAGAAAATTCAAATAGCAGAACAGTGAAATTTTCGCAGGTATTTCTAATTAATATTATTATTGTTATTATTATTGTTACTATTGTTATAATTGTTATTTTTATTTCCTTTAATATCTGGCGTTTACACATTTCTTTCCGGGTCCCACCCAGGAACCTAAGGTTAGAAATAGTATCATGACACTTTCCGCTGCAAAAAAAAAAAAAAAAAAAATTACATATAAAGCCCTTCGTAAAGTGTGGGCTGTACTTGTGAGAACAATTAGTATTATTGCTGTTATTATTGTTATTATTATTATTATTAGTAGTAGTAGTAGTAGTAGTAGTAGTAGTAGTGATAGTATTATTATTATTATTATTATTGTTGTTGTTGTTGTTGTTGTTATCATTAATAGATACTCTCCGACTCTTAGATGTTTTGGTGGAGTAGGGATACGCATATCTCAGCTCCTACCCACAACTTAGAGATGCAACTATTTACTCTGTTCCAAGCATGGATGCCGCATCCCTAATGATACTATATATCCCTAAAGCGTCTTGCGAGGCAAAGAGATTTTTGGAGATAGTCCCGCGTGAGCCAAGCACAAAATTATTATTATTATTATTATTAGTTGTGTTAATCATTACTGTTATAGGGCCAAATATAGACGCATACAACCGTGTTTACATATGTGATTGGCAAAACGTATGTTTAGTTTTGAATATATTAACATTTGTGAGAACGTGTAAATGTGCGTATGTATGTGTATGTGGCGTAAAGGGAGACAGGATAATGGCTTTGGGAGTCGGGCAGAAAGGTTCGTAAGTTGATCATTTAGTTCCTTCTGCTGTTCTTACAAAGTCCAAACTCACTTATCTCTTTCTCACTTTAGTGTTGTCTCAGATAACGCTTTCATCTGCCCAACAACGAACAAATCGTCTTTTGGTCAGGTGAAAGCTATTAAAGTTTTATTTTTGTTTATCTTTTTTTATTCGTTGTTTCTAATTTTATTTACTTATTTTACTGTTTCGTAAAAAAGTCCTAGCTTTTTTTTTTTTTTTTTTTTATAAAGTTACTTCTCTCTGTTTCATTTCTTTTATTATGTATTCAGTAATTTTAGCTACGTTTTGACACAAGGCTTTTATTCGTGCTTAAATTCAAGCAGCGTATCTGTTGAATATTTTTAATGTTAATATTTTTTTTATAATGTAAAATGGAAACAAAAAGGACACGTATGCTTAGCATCAGAAAGAGACAGTTGAAATTTCTGGAGCGCATAATGAGGAAAGAGGGCTTCGAAAATTTGATATTCACGGGACTGTTTGAAGGCAAGAGGGACAGAGAAAAACAGCGCATAATCTACCTAGCGAGCTTGAGTAAATAGATGGCAGAACAGGGTTTATGAGAGATAAGAAAAACGCAACATTTATTAAGGGCGAAAAAGGACAGGAAAATGCGGAGAGCTATAATCGCCAACGTCCTGAAGTAACACGGCACATAGAAGAATTTAATTGTTAAAATTAATATTTTTTTTTCTTTTTCCATTCCTTCATCTTTTCACCTAACATCCTTTTCTTAGTCTATTTTATTTTTGTCCCTCAGCATTCACTAGGGATAAAAGCCGAGGTAATATTCGCCAATGTTTCTCTCTACTTACGTGCTTTTCAGATTATTTGTTTTTCTCGATTCTTCATCAGACCATATAGACTGGCTCTACAAAAACACGAGTAACAAGTTTTGCCAAATAACAAAACCCACGATATTATTTCTTTTACGGGTATCCTGTTCTTTCTTATGGACACTACTATATTTCTCTAATAAACTTTTTGATTAGAACTAGAATTTATTGTAATTTCGACGCACTTTATTGATATTTACTTTATTCGAAAAAAAAAATTCTTATTCACATGGCTGTTTTTGCGTTAAAATAAAATGTAATAAAAATCAAAGAAAATTTACTATTCATCGTTTTAAATGAGTTTCATGCATCAATATTC